CTCATCAGAGAGGCTAGTCCTGGTCTCCTTCACACAATCCATTTCTTCTCCGCTGGCAGTGTTGGGGACCACTCTGTCTTTAGAACCTCTCTTGGCAGAAGTAGTTCCTATAGTGAACATGGTGGACTGTTTTTGTTTTTTTTTTTTTAATTTCACATGTCTTGTGTCACCGTATGCCCCATTAAAACCTATAATGAGAACTGATCAGGTCATCTGTATTAGTAATGGAATGTTTTTGCTGTAACTGTCTATTTGAAATTGATACTGGTAGCTAACATGGAAATTGTAGTCAGAGAAATCGTGAGCAGTGATCTGGAGTTGAAATAAGGAGAAACACAGACCTGGGCTCCTTGGGGACAAGCTTTTGCATCTTCTGATTTTTTTTTCTTTCTTTTTAATCTTAAAACCATTTGTTGAAATTCTTTAAATCTTTGTGTTTGTCTGGTTTTCCTCAGTGTAATAAATGACATCTACTATGTGAACATGTCATCAAGTATCTTTCCATTGTCTCAGTGCACCAAATATGGTGGTTTCTCTTTTGTGGTTTTTGGTGTTGTTTGGGGTTTCGTTTTGGTATCAGGGATCAAACTCGGGGACACTCAACCACTGAGCCACATCCCCAGCCCTCTTTTGTATTTTATTTAAAGACAGGGTCTCACTGAGTAGGTTAGTGCCTTGCTAAGTTGCTACGGCTGGCTTTGAACTTGCAATCCTCCTGCTTCGGCCTCCTGAGCCGCTGGGATTAGAGGTATGCGCACCACACCTGTCTGATGGTTCTTGACATCAGTGTAAAGGCTGGTTTCAGGGCATGGCACCATCTGGTGTCCTCAGCTCAGGCAGAGAGGGACTCTCTCTTGGCTTTGGAGAGCAGTGTTTTTAAATGTGTTCTGTGTGCTTTTTCATTGTGCTAAAGGCATAGCTGGAACCAGAGAGCTGGTATAGGTTGGCTCTGAGGTGCAAGAGGAGCTCTGAAATGAAGCATGAGCCCTCATGGGACAGTGGAGATGTTTCACTTAAGGAACAACATGTTTTAATACTTCAAAGAGTTTTTCTTTCTTCTTTTTAAAAGTTATTTTAAGTTCCCAAATCCAAACCATCCCCAGCTTCCATGGGGGTTGAGACATGATTGGATTTTTATCCCACTATAGAAAAAATTAAGATAAAAATCTGTGGGGCCAATAATTCAGAACCATGACACAGTTTTGAAACAGTAGTCTTGAGAAAAATGAAATGTCTTCAAGTTATATCTATAGAAAATCAAAATTCAGTCAAACAAGATATTATTTAATTAAAACCCCTTTGATAATTTCTGCATTGCTCTTTGATATTGAGCTTCTTATTCTGGAATTATTTTTTTAAAGCAGATTAGCTGAACTTTGAAGTGTTTGAAACATAGGGGTGACTTAGTCTAATGCATCGCGGCATACACGTTGACAGCTAAAGGGAAACGGTGAAAAGGCATCTTTTTCCGCTCATTTTTTCTTTCGATTTCACTCTAAACTCTTTGCAGATTTATTAAAGCCACTGAAAGGTAACTCATTCTTAAGTATCTGAGTGGGGCTCAAAGGGTGATTTTTCACTGTATACTCTAGCTTAGTTCTTATTAACATTTCATATCATAATGCTGGTTTTAATGTTAGCACTCAGCTATTGGCTGATGTGTCCCTGGTGATTCACATATGCTGTCTCACCTGATCTTGTCTACAGTCTTCAGAAATAAGTGTTTTTAATCTCACTTGCAACTCAGGTGAAATTAGTTATAGCTAGAGGTGGATCCTTACCTTGGGCCTCTGGAGCAACAGGGATTTCCATGCAGGTGGGTGGTTTGGGAGGCCTCCCAGAAGGTAGGAGGGAGGTCGAGGGGAGAGTGAGAGGAAGGAGAAACCAACAAAAGGAAGCATTGTTGAAGGTGCATTTGTCATGACTCCAGGGTCTCAAGAAGTGTTGAGAGGGATCTTGGAATCATACCACTGAATCAAGGGAGACCAGGTTGGATATACTGCCTTTCTCACCCACTGGCCAAGAGCTGCCTCACTTCCCCAGAACTTCAGGGTATGCTGAGATCCTCTAATCAGAAAAGCACCGTGGTGCCTGGACATGGTTTGAGGTAGAGGTGCAGAGGTAGCTCCCACAGAACTACCTTCTATGGTGTCCCTGAGGGTATGTGACAGGAGACCCAGCATTCTGTTAAAAGGACAGAACCCAGCTTGGACTGACTCCCAAACCTGTGTTCCTTCCTCTGCGACAGACCATCTTCCTATAAACACAGATGGGAGGTGGAAGATGACCCAGAAATGTAGTAGGGCACACACCCGAGCTGTTAACAGTATGAGGAGAACACACCGGGGAAACATGTGTGTCATTCTATGTAATTAAGGAGTTTGCCCTCCTAGTTGTGTTGCTTCAGGTAACATTAATTTGTATTCCTTGCATAGATTACAGTAAAGAAAATAATCCAGAATATTCCAATAATTAGACACCATCCCTGATTTGAGATTTAAAAAAATTCCAGCCAGGCACGGTGGCGCACATCTATAATCCCAGAGGCTCAGGAGGCTGAGGTAGGAATATCCCAAATTCAAAGCCAGCCTCAGCAACTTAGTGAGACCTTAAGCTACTAAGCGAGACCATGTCTCAAAATTTAAAAAATATTTTTTAAAAGGGCTGAAGATATGGCTCAGTGGTTAAGCACTCCTGGGTTCAATCCCTGGTACCAAAATAAACAAGCAAACAAAGTAAACTCCATTACTGAGTTTTCAGGTCTGTCATGTATATAGGAATATGTTGTGCTCAGGAGTTGTAGTGGTAGGAAATTGAGGGGTGTGGGGGACAAAGGCAGATTGCATGGGGCCTCTTAGGCCACTGTTCATTTTACAATCTGCTGTTTTGTTTAAAACCACTTACTAACATCCAGAAGATGTTGACACTCCCCAGAGGTGTGCTAGAGGGGACATCACTGGGCCCTGTTCTCCCCAGGACAGTCAGGCTGCTGAAACTTTGTGCTGATACCTAGAGGTTCTAGAGTCACCTGCCCTCTTGCTGAACTCCGCCAAGCACAGTGTCACCACAGAGTAGGTGTTTGAAACCTTGAGTTCTGGAATAAAAGAACTCGAGTGCCTTTTTAGGGTCTTCAGCCACCCAGAGCCAGGCCGGGGCTGGAGTTCCTACCGACAGATTGTTGGAGGAAAATGCCACATTGCTGTGTGATAGATCACCACAGACTGAGCCACTGAAAATAGTACAAAGGTTGCAGCTCCCAGCCTAGGCTCCAAGTCCAGGCCCGGTTTGACTGGGCTCTCTGCCCGCAGTCTCAAGGGACTGGAGTGAGGGTGTCCCAGAGTGTGTCTTTCTGGAGGCCATGGAGCAAAACCTGCTCTTGGCTCATGCAGGTTGTTGCCAGAGTCCCAGTTCCCCTTGAAGTTGTGGCACCAGGGCATGCCAGCAGGGGACTACTCTCAGACCCTGGATGCCGCATAATACCGGCCATATGGACCCACCATTGTCAGCACCAACAACTGAGAATGGACCCGTGTCAAATCCTTCTTGGGCTTCTCTCTGTCCAGGAAAAGCCCTGTCCTCTAGGAAAGCCTGGATGGATCAGCCTCGCTCAGACACTCCCCCTTTAGTGAAGTCACAGGGCTCAAATCCAGCACAGTCACAGTCCTGGGGCTTATGCAGGGCCAGCACATCAGGGAGCAGAGGTCTGGGTGACCTTAGGATTCTGCCCAAACCCTGTGTGAAGTACGTAGGGCTTAAGGTCCCAAAGCCCTTTGTACTTCATATAGTCTAGAAATAACCCTTGACCCAAACAGGGTGAATAATGGCCCTGATGTCATTTTTATATTCTCCATATGTGGCTTGAGGAAAGGTCAAACTCCAAGGAAATATTTATCAGCTGGTTTACTGGGATTCTTCATTAAGGTTGGTCATTTAGTAGTTTTTCTGCCTGTTACTGACTTGGGCCTAATTTGAAGGGCTGCCGTTCACTTTTGTTCTGAAGTTCTTCCACGTTAGTTCATTAAATTTTCATACCAAAACTGGGTTAATATGTTTATCCCAGATTTCAGATGAGAAAGGTTAGCTGACTTATTAGCTAGGTTATGTGTTTGAGAAACAGCAAAGCCAGGCCCACACACTCTCTAACATACCACAGTGGCTACATTTTTTTTCCATTTTTTTTATTGCAGTGAAATAGGTATAATAGTTCATCTTCTTACCCATTTTAAGTGCACAGTTCAGTGGTATTAAATGCATTCATAGTGTTGTGCAGCGACCACCACCCTACATCTCCAGAGCTCTTTTCAGAATTAAAACTCTGTACCATTAAACATTTTCCCATTCCTCCCTCCCTCCACCTTCTAGAAACCACCATTCTACCCTATCTCTGGATTTGATTACTCTAGGCACCTCACAGATCGGGAAATGAGACAGCACTTATCTCTTTGCAGTTGACTTATTTTACTTGGTGTAAAGGTTCAGAGGCTCCAAGGTTTATCCACATTGTAGCCTGTGTCAGAATTTCCTTCCTTTTTAAGACTGAAGAGCATTCCGTTAATACATTCTTACTCTTAATATTCGAGTGCCTACTATCACCAGGCACTGAGCTTGGTTACAAGATATTAAAATGAGTACATCACAGTCCTTCAGGAACTCCAGGATTTTACCTTTTATATTGTAATTTATAAATCATCTACAAAAGTTTGAACACAGTGATGCAGGTTGTCCAGGAAGGAGCCACAGATTCCACTTGAGTTAGCCCAAGGGTTACCTGAGCATTAGGTCCTGAAACATGAGCAGCCGCTTATCTCTGAAGAGTGGGTGTTTCAGGGGAAAGGCATTCCATCCGAGGGATCAGTGAGGGCCAAGTGCAGCAGAGAGGTTGGGGCAAAGAGGAACCGTCTGTGCAGTCAGGTGCCAGCCCACCTCAAAGCCATGAGGGAGGGCGACTGTTTCCCATCTAGTCCCTTTTCAGCCCTAACAGAGTCATTCTGCTTCCCCAGCTGAACTGGATGCTGAGCACACGCAGAAGGTCCTGGAAATGGAGCACACCCAGCAAATGAAGCTGAAGGAGCGGCAGAAGTTTTTTGAGGAAGCCTTCCAGCAGGACATGGAGCAGTACCTTTCCACGGGGTACCTGCAGATTGCAGAGAGGCGCGGTGAGCTGGCGCTGCGGGTAAAGCCTTGGAAGTCCCTTTCTAGTAATAGACCCTGAAATCCAAGCATCGAGATCAGGCCATATCCATCTTGCCCTTGTTCTTCCAGTTCTAGGTTCTAGTTGAAGATTTCAAAAATAAACAACCTTTGAAAATTACAAACCAATTATGCTCATACAAAATTTGAAGGGAAAGAAAGAAAGAAAATTGCTTTCCTTGCAGTGTTGGGGATTGAGTCTAGGGCCTAGCACAGGGCAGACCATGCTGAGTTACAGTCACATCTTTAGCCAGAAAAACACTTTTTTAGAATGAAAAAGACAAATTATTCATAATTCTATAGCATAGGGTAAGATCTACTAATATTTTAGTGTTGTTCTTTTTGGTCTTTGTTCATGAGTCTATTTGTAATTGGTATCAAACTATACGTCTACGTGGCTTTGTATCTTGACTTTTTTTTTTTTCCTGGTACTATGGATTGAATCCAGGCAGGAATCCATGGAGCTACATCCTCAACTCTTTTTAAAATTTTTTTGAGACAGAGTCTACTCAGGCTGGCTTTGAACTTGTAATCCTCTGGATTCAACCTCCCAAGTAGCTGGAATTCCTGGCATGTACCACCGCACCCAGTTCTCTGAATTTTCTCAATATTGTATAGGGCTCTCTTCCTCATTATTAAAAATTATTTGAGGACTGGACATGTAGCTAGTAGAGAGAGAGAGAGAGAGAGAGAGAGAGAGAGAATGTGTGTATGTGTGAGTCTTAGCATACATGAGACCTCAGGGCTCAATCCTGGGGAACAAAAAAAAAGTTATTTGAAAGGATGTGTTTTAAAGGGTACATATTCATCATCAGGATGCATCCTAACATGGCCCCTCACTGTCCATGAGGAATCAGTCCCAACACCCACCCCCACACACACTGCCAAAATCTGTGCATGCTCAAGTCTCTTTTATAAAATGTGTACTATTTGCATATAGCCTGTGCATTCCTCTGGAATCATCTTGAGGTTTAAATCATGTCAGGTTACCTAGGATATAAGTGACTGCTGTGTGCAGAGTGTACCATGTTGTTTGGAGAATAATGTCAAGAAAAAAAAGTCTGTATGGTTCAGTGCAGATGTACCCATTGGAGGCCTATCCATTTTTCCACCTGAGGTTGACTATGGAGAATGAGGTTATGGAGGGCCCACTGTATTTAATCAATTCCCTGGTTGAACATTTAGATTTGTTTTTAACCTCTTTAATCAGTGCTGTGAGACATGCATATGCTTAAATGAATAAGTCAAGCAGGGTGGAAGTGAGGACACAGGACTCCTTCCACTGGCTGCCCCAGGAGCAGTGGCCAGGTAGGCAGGGCAGTGACTTCAGGCAACTTGTTCCTTCCAGCAGGTGCCATGGTCCCAGAGCCTGATGCCCAGGGCACGTGGAAGAGAGAGTGTGCTTCCCTGTCCCTCTGGGCACCTCAGCACCTCCTGGAGATGTTCCTCTCCAGATCTCTCAGTGCCCCACCCCCAACATGCCGCCTCTGTCTGGCTTGGTTTCTTCTTTGACATCCAGTTCCCTGTCCCCTCCCGGAGAGGATAAAGAAATGAATGAAGGAAAGTGATGTAGAGAGAATAGATTATAGCTCTGTTGGGTGCTTCAGGCTGTGCTAACGAAAGTGGGTGATCAGTGACGCAGTTGGTGCTTTCCACGCTGGAGCTGATGGAACGGGGTCTGGAGTGTGACTTCTCTAGCTCCCTGGTCAGCTTCTTCCCATTTCACCCATTGACCTAGAAAGTCAGACTGCCCAGCTCAGGTGCCTGAGTGCTGTGCAGAGCAGCTGCCTGGCTCCTTGGGGAGGAAAGAGAGGCTCCCTCCAGGCTGCTTATCCTGT